CTCCCAAATTCCATGGATGTGGCAGGAACCCCTTGAGATCCACCCTGGAAGAAACTCACCTTTCACCCCACCCAGGAGCCTTTAAATAAACACAAACCAATTAAAACAAATAAACAAAACCAAATAAAAAAAAAGAAACAAAAAAAAAAATTAACCAGATCATCTACTTTTTATTTCAGAGGAAAGATTTTGCATTATTTACTTTTATTTATATACAGGTACTTCACATTTGTATTTAAAATGCACAGACCTCCCAAGATTTTCCTCGTTCCGGCTTTTAAATTAGCTGTTATTTTACAATACAAAAAAATTATACCAAAAAACTGCAGTCCTAAATGTGTGTATGTATAACACCCACGACCCCAGCAATGAAATAGTTTACAATACTTGCTCCTATTTACATATGAATGCAAGAAATGCTAAATTATACATATTAACAAACTAAGCCCGAGTCTGAACACACAGAAGAATCGTAAATAATTACAGGACAAAGAGGGGGGGGAAAAAAAAAAAAAAAAAATCCAGAATGCAATTAATTCGAGGATCTGAAAGAACATTTATTGTGCACAAATTTCAGAGTAATATAAAACTCTTATTTTTATTTTCTCTTTTTTTCTCTTTTTTTTTTTTTTAAATTTTTTTGTAAAAAAAATGGACTGACGTATGTTAACGCTCCTCCACAATTGTGATTTTTTATTTATTTGTGTTTTTTTTTTTCCTTCTTTCTCCTTGATGAGGGTTTGTGGAATCAGTGACAGAGAGAGGGAATGGCCAAGGAATTGTGGTACCTGGAAGACGCACACAAACGGCCCGGGGGGGTAGTGTGGGAACAAAGGGAATAAACTGAATAAAACCTGCCCTGATGCAGCAAAAAACCAGCACATACACACATTGTCGTAGTCCTGGCGTGGCAAACCCAGCTCGTTTCAGCAGCTCCCGATGGGAAAAGCGGGAATTCGACCAAAAATTGCCAAGAACGCGCCCAAAAATAAGACAGAGACACCTCCCCCTTCTTCCCGCAGCTCCTGAGGATCTTCCCAATAAACCCCTCACAATTCCCTCTCCCACCTGCTCCTGCAGCTCAGCCCTCCCCTTCCCTGTGGCATTCCCAAATGGATGGAATGGGAGAAGCAGAGGCATCCACTGCTGGCTGGGAGCGGCGGATGAGGTTGGGAGTCGCTCCGGGAATGCAGAGTCCACTCTTTGCTGCCTCACCAGTGAGGCCCCCTGTTTCCAGGGAAAAGGCTCCTGGGATGCAGCTGATGCCCTAACTCAGGGGTTTGTGGGAAAGGCAAAGCAGCTGGAAAACACCTGGATGGAGAGTNCACCTGGATGGAGAGTTGGCCTCGGCTCTGCGGCCCTGGAATTCCAGCAGGTCGTGGGAAAAGCCTAAATTCGGTTTCAGCCCCAAAATTCAGCTTATTTAGGGCGGGACAGGCTGAGCTTCCATTGAAAACCATTCCATGATCCCGCTGACCCTGCACCTTGGGAACATTTACCACGGAGAAATGATGTTTCTGAGCGATATTTGGGACATAAACTATCCCTAAGGAAGCAGCCAAAGGAGCTGCCACGTGTTAATGGCACCGTCCCACTGAATTTTGGGACACTCCATGCCATGATTTCTGTTCAACAGCTTTATTTTGGCAACTTCAACCCAGCACTTTTTAAGCCCAGGGAGAGCAACAACAACTCCAAAGTTGTGCCTCACAAACCTTCTTGTACCCAAAATATCCACCCAGAGCCTGGTGGGGTCAGCCCAGAGAAAATTCCAGGTTAAAACCTGGAAAATGGGGGAAAACAGGGAATTAAAAAGAAAAACAAGTACGGTTTTTTTGTTATTTGGAGATCCAGAAGAATAAAGGGGCTAAAACACTTCTGAGCTTTTATTATTCTTTTTTTTTTTTTTTTAAAAAAGGCTCCTCTCAAAGAATTGAAAAGTTCTGAGGGCTGAGACATCAAATGCTGAATTTCAGCCAGTTCTAAACACCTGAAAACAGTGATTTTGGATGGAAAATAGTGATTTTTGGATGGGAATCACTGCCACAATCTTAATAACAGAGGCTTCAACTGCTGCCTTAATCCTCCACGTGGTGACTAAATTTAAGGACGTTTATTCCTTGTCTCCCAAGTGTTGGGTTTTCCCTCCTTTTTTCAATGGGAAAAGCTGTTCTTTCCCTTGGTTTCTACACTGAAGTGAAACGCATTTGAACACAAAAAATCAAGTTATGCTTCCCTGTTTGGCAAGATACCACGAGATATAATCTGATGTTTCAAGCTCTGGAAAGTCACCTAACGCTGATCAGCCAAAGGAGTTATTAAGACAAAACTCAGACAGCACTTAAAAAGCATCAAAAATACATTCAATGGGGTTTTTTTCTGGTTTATGCACATTTTAAATCCCTCCACGTCCTGCAAGTTGCTGGAGATTTTATGTCCAAGTGCAAAATCCAGGTGTTGTTTGTCATTTATTTACATATTCTCCCAGGAAATCAGGTTGTTCTTTCCCCTCCCCACTTCACTTCCAAAGGAAATATTCCCATAAATCCTTCACTGTTGATATTGGCCTGGTGATAAACCACCAGAAATTCCCATTCCTTCCCACTTTTTTTCCTGTTTTACCTTCAAGTTGGGATGAAACTGCAGCAGAGCTCTTGTATGAGTTCTCTTGTCCCTCATGGGTTTGGAGACCAGATGCAGAGCAGAGCTACATCCTAAAGGAGCTTTTATTTATACAAACAACCCTGCTATTTATATCACTAACTCTTGTCCCTCTAGTGATTTTTTTTTTTTTTTTGTGCTGCTAAACCTCAAAACTTTGACCATTTTGGCTCTTTTTGCCCAAAATCTTTCGTGGCTTTGGAGACCTGACAATCCATCTCTCCAGGGGTGGGAAACCCTCCCTCCCAGAAAATCAATATTTATGTCTTTTTATGAATGTAAAAAAAAAAAAAAAATCTATCACCCCTCCAGGGCCTCCAGTTCTTGGAGCTGTTTCTGCTCAGGAATAATCTCAGCAAGAAATTTAAGCCCCTCCTTAAGCTCTGTCCTGACTAGGGAGACTCAAGCCTAAGGGTTTTCTCCACGTGAGGTGGCAGTTTTCCTCCCCCCCAAAAAAAAAAGGGTTGCAAGAGCAAGAAGAAGACATTTCCAAACATAAGGATGAGCATTGTGGCTGAAAACATGGAATAATAGGGGGGATTTTAGTCCAGTCTTATTTCTCCAGTTCAGGTCAGTCCTATCACAGAGCAAGTTAGGAAGGAGATGAATCTGTCTGAGGTAATCTGTGCATCAGGTAAAACTTAAAACTACCTAAATCCCTTCATCCTAAACCACAAAACTCACCCCTTTTCCACCCAGAATTCCTTTTTCCCAGAGGGCATTTAAACTTCTGGTTTAGAAACAGATGCATTTATATACATTTATATATAAAATGCACTTTTTTTCCCTAATGTTTTTCTCCAGCCCCAACACCCTTTTGCAGTCCCACTGCACTTGTTAAATGACACATTAATTCGGAATTATCACCCACCAGGGTCCCCCAGACCACCAACCAGGCTGTTCCCATCACCTCTGCCAGCAACTCCACATCTTTGCTGTGACGCTGCCACGCTCTGAAAAGCCTCTTCAGAATACATGGCTAGAAAAAAAAGGAAAACAGCCCAAAAAATGAGTGGTTGATGTGACTGATCACCAAAATGTGCATTAAAAAAAAAGATGCAGTGCTTTGGGTTTCAGTTTGGAAAGTGCCACCTGACCAGAAGATCCAAGAGCAATTCCAGGGCGTTTAATAAATATTAGATGTTCTCCACACAATCCAGTGACTGGACCCAAAATTACTGTGCCTGAGCCATAATTACACAGTTTGGCACCTTCACTAAGACCTTCCCACCAGCTCCAAAACACCACCACGTCCTGAGGCCCTGGCTGTGCCACATTCCAGGCTCCAAGGAAACACTGGGCACCACCACCACGCACAGGCAGAAGGGTTAAGCCCAACCCTGAGCCCAACCTTGAGCCTCCAAACACAACCTCAACTCATCAAGCCCAGCCTTGAGCCTCCAAACACAACCCTGACTCACCAGAGCAGTTCAGATGGTTTGATGTCCCCCCCAGAAAAGCCAAACCTTCTCTCTGCTGTTTGCAAAACCCTTTCCCCAACCAGCCACTTCTTCGACATCCACCAGGGCTCAAACACCAGCAGGTCTCAAACCTGTGGCCAAACCAAGCTGCTCTGTTTGGTTTTCATTTAAAGTTCTTTTTTTTAATTCATCCTTCAGTGCTCTGGGATGTGGAGGGTTGGTTTTTACACCCTGCAGGAGGTGGAGCAAACCCTGTAACCACCGAGGAGCGACGGCTCCCGGCTCAGCTCTCATCCAGGGCGGGAGAAGGGAAAGGGGAGGAGGAGGAGGAGGAAAGAGGCCAAAATCAGGAGGAATCTGATGGACCCGACCTGGAACACAAACTGCTGCTGGGAAAACGCTGGTGGAACCAGGAGTTTGCTCGTGAGACGCCGAAACTCTACTTGCCCTCCAGGTATTTCCACCTGGGTGAGCGGCTGGTCAGCCAGGAAAATGCCATTTTCCTGGGATAGAGAACACAGGTTGCCTCGGGCAACTCTGCATGTTGAGTGTACAGATATTTCAAAGGAATTTAATGGTGTCCAAAAGCATGTGGAGCAGTCTCCTCACTCCCTAGATCTGTTCAAGTCTAGGCACTTGTGTGTGGTGGACTCCAAGCAGGTTAAGACCGTGTAAACACCGAGTCCTTCCAAAGCAACATCCGACTTTTTCCAGTTATTTCACGCGGTTCTGAGCGACATCAACCTTCAAACCATCCCAGCTTTTGCATTCCTGGACCGTGATGACTTGAAAAAAATCAAACAAATAAACAAACAAACAAACAAACAAAAAAGGCTGTGCCTGGAAGAGAGTTCCACTGGAAACGAGTAATGAAGGGAGGAATTAAACACTAAATGAAAACAAAGGATGAGGAGATGCTTTGAAGATTAATAGTAGTGTTTATGTGTTGAGAGCTGACACCTGTAAACACTGGATCTTTTTTTTTTTTTCTCTTTTGTACAGTTTGATAAATACATGAACTACAAAGCACTTTCCATGTAGAAACCTGAGTGTCATTCATATTGGACTACTGTTCTATTTACACCCAGCAGGGACCGGCGGCACCGACCCCCTGCAATAAAATTATTTTACTTAGAACTCGAAGGAAAACAAAAAAAAAAAAAGGAGCAACCTGAAGCCACGTTGTCAGTAAAACTTAAGTGGAGCAGTTGTCAAATAAAGCCAACTAGAGCACGGAGATGAGAGAGAAAAAAGTCGGGATCAAGGAAGGTGTGGTTTTGTTTTTGTTTTCTTTGTTTTTTTTTTTCCGAGTGCTTCGAGTCTCTTGGGACACAACTTGGAAATCTTCCTCCTCCTCCTCCTCCTCCACCTCCTCCTCCTCGGTATTCCTTTTCCATTTTGTTTAAAACCCTAGAGAGTTTGTGATGTCCATGCATCAAATACAGGTTCCTGGCTGTGCAGGGGGCTGCTGTTTCCGATTTCGGACGGCGCCCGATTTCTCTTTGTAGGCAATTGGCATCTGTTGTGAAATGTCCACCAGAGCACTGGCCACGGCGAGACCTGGGGGACAGCAGAGCAAAGAGTCAGGGAACAAAATGGTCACAGCAGCAAATCCCACAGCCATGGCTGAGGAGAAGCCTCCAGGCCACAAAATACGTGGAATTTTCTGAGCAGAGCTGAAGAGTGTTTGGGCTGAAGAGATTAAACTCCAGCCAACGTTCTGGAATAAGGTGAAACAGGGAGCAAGTTGAGCAGGAAAAGCTGCAGGAAATGTGGGGATTAATGGGTGTGAAAGTCTTAATGTTGAAGGGTGAACCCTTAGTATTAAAGGTGTTTCTGCATCAGTAGATGGGCGACAATAAACCTGAAAGAACGTGGGCATAGAGGTTCCATTGCACTTCCCAGGGATCCATCATCTCTGCAACCTCCTCAGGGCAGGGCAGGGAATCATGGAATGGCTTG